TTTGAAGAAATAATAGCTGAAAATTTCCCTAATATGGAAAAGGAAACATATCCACATCCAGGAGGCAAAGAAATCCCCATAAAAAATCAACCCTAGGAGGTCCACACTCAGTAAGTAGCGTGGCATAGTAATTAAAGTGGCAAAATTAGTGATGAATAATTTTAAAAGCAGCACGAGAGAAGACAATTATATGCGAGGGAAACTCCATAAGGCTATCAGTAGATTTTTCAGCAGATCTTTGCAGACCAGAAGGGAGTGGCATGATATATTCAAAATGCTAAAAGGGAAAAATCTTCAGCCAAGAATACTCTATCAAGCAAGGCTGTCAATCAGAATAGAAGGAGAGATAAAGAGTTCCTCAGATAAAAACTAAAGGAGTTCATGACCACTAAACCAGCTCTACAAGAAAGTAGTGGAAAGACCATAAGTAAGAGTATGAAAAGTAGTAAGATAATTATTTTACTTATAAAAGCAGTAAAAATAAGTATTTCTGTAAAACTCAGTCAACAGATTCATAAAATAAAAGGATGTAGACTATGACACCATGTACCTAAAGTGATGGGGAGTGGTTAATAAAGAATGGGTTTCAAGGAAACAGTGGCTATAAGTGACACACTGTACCAAATGGATTTAACAGATATTTACAGAAAATTTCATCCCCAAACAGGAGAATACACATTCTTCTCAAGTGCACATGGAACATTCTCCATTATAGATCACAATTAGGCCACAAGTCTCAACAAATTTAAAAAGGTCAAAGTCATACCTTGCATCTTTTCTGACCACAACGCTATGAAACTAGAAATAAACCACAAGAAAAAAATCTGGAAAGACCATAAATACTTGGAGGTTAAATAATATAAACAATGAATGGGTTCACCAGAAAATAAAAGAATAAATAAAAAAGTACATAAAACAAATGAAATGAAAACACAATGGTCCAAAATTTTGGGGATGCTGCAAAAGTGGTTCTAAGAGGGAAATTTACAGCAATACAAGCCTATCTCAGGAAGTAAGAAAAATCTCAAATAAAAACCTAACTTTATACTTAAAGAAGGTAGAAAAAGAAGGAAAAACAAAACCCAAAACCAGCAGAAGGAATGAAATAATAAATAAATAATAAAGATTAGAGCAGAAATAAATGATATAGAAACTAAAAAAAACAATGGTACAGATCAATGAAACCAAGAGGTGGTTCTTTGCAAAGATCAACAAAATTGATAAACCTCTAACCAGAATTAATACCTATTCTTCTCAAATTATTCCAAAACTTAGAAGAGGAAGAAAACTTCCAAATTCATTCTATAAGGCCAGTTATCACCATGATACCAAAACCAGATGAAAATACCGCAAAAAAAGAGAACTACAGGCCAATCTCTCAAAAATATACATGCAAAAATCTTCAACAAAATACTATCAAACCAAATACAACAGTACATTAAAAAAAAACAACATTCACCATGATCAACTGGGATTTATTCCTGGGATCCAATGGTAGTTCAGTATCTGCAAATCAATCAGTGTGATACATCACATCAATAAGAGAAAGGATAAGAACCATATGACCATTTCAACAGATGCAGAAAAAGCATCTGACAAAGTACAACATCCGTTCATAAAACCCTCGACACAGTAGGTTTAGAGGGAACATTACCTGAACATAATAAAGGCCTTATATGAAAGACTCACAGCTAACATCATCCTTCATGGGGAAAAACTCAGAGATTTCCTTCTAAGGTCAGGAAAAAAACAAGGATATCTACTCTCCCCACTTTTATTCAACATAGTGCTGGAAGTCCTAGCCACAGCAAACAGACAACAAAAAGAAAAAGCATTAAAATTGGTAAGGAAGAAGTAAAATTTGCAAGAAGTAAAAGAAGCAAATTTGCTATTTGCAGATGACATAATAATTTATATATATAAAAAAAGACTCCCCCAAAATATCAGGAACAAGACAAAGATGTCCACTCCCACTACTTTTATTTAACACAGTACTGAAGTCCTAGCCATAGCAATCATTTTTTTTCACTATCAAACAATATAGACTTTATTTTTTTCCTCCAAGATTTTATTTAAATCCAAGTTAGTTAACATTTAATGTGGTATTGGTTTCAGGAGTAGAATTTAGTGATTCATCACTTACATATAATACCCAGTGCTCATCACAACAAGCACCCTCCTTAATACCCACTACCCATTTTAGCCCATTCCACCACCCTCATTTTGTTTCTTGAATTCCACACATGAGTGAAATCGCTTAATATAATACACTTTAGTTCCATCTACATTGTTGCAAATGGCAAGGTTTCATTCAGTTTAATGGCTGAGTAATGTTCCACTGTATATATGCCACGTCTTCTTTATCCATTCAGCAGTTGATGGACAAGTGCCTAGCCATAGCAATCAGACAACAAAAAGAAATAAAAGGCATCCAAATTGATAAGACAGAAATATAATTTTTACTATTTGCAGATGACATGATACTCCATATAGAAAACCCTAAAAATTCCACCAAAAAACTACTAGAAATGATAAATGAATTCAGTCAATTTGCAGGACACAAAAATCAATGTACAGAAATCTGTTGCATTCCTATACACTAATAATGAAGCTACAGAAAGAGAAATTAAGAAAACAGTCCCTTTTACAATTGTACCGAAACCAATAAAATATCCAGAAACAAACTTAACCAAAGAGGTGAAAGACCTGTACTCTGAAAACTATAAAACACTAATGAAAGAAATACAAGACAATGCAAAGAAATGGAAAGACCTTCCATGCTCGTGGGTTAGAAGAACAAATATTGTTAAAATGTCTATCCAAAACAATCTACAGGTTTAATGCAATTCCTATCAAAATACCAATGACATTTTTCACAGAACGAGAATAAGCAATCCTAAAATGTGTATGGAACCACAAAAGACCCCAAATAGGCAAATCAAAAAGGGAAAAGGAAAACAAAATGGGAGGTATCACAATTCCAGACTCCAAGTGATATTACAAAGTTGTAGCAATCAAAACAGTATGGTACTGACATAAAAATAGACATACATGTCAAGAAAACAGAACAGAAAACTCAGAAATAAACTCAATTATATGGTCAATCAATCTTTAAGGAAGGAGGAAAGAAAATCCAATGGGTAAAAAACAGTCTCTTCAATAAATGGTGCTGGGAAAGGTGGATAACTACATGCAAAAAATTAAACTGGATCACTTTCTTACACTATACACAAAAAATAAACTCAAAATGCATTAAAGACCTAAATGTGAGACTTGAAAACATAAAAATCCGAGTAGAGAGTATAGGCAATAATTTCTCTGACATTGGCCACAGGAACTTTACTCTAGATATGTCTCCCAAGGCAAGGGAAATAAAAGCAAAAATTTCCCTGTTGGGACTACATCAAAATAAAAAGCATTTGCATGGCAAAGGAAATATCAATAAAACTAAAAGGAAACCCACTCAATGGGAGATAATATTTGCAAATGACATATCTGATAAAGGATTAGTATCAAAAATATATAAAGAACTGATACAATTCAACACCCCAAAAACAAATAAGCCAATTAAAAAAATGGGCAGAACACATGAACAGACATTTCTCCAAAGAAGATATACAGATGGCCAAC